CTAGTATATTTTGACCAAAAAGTTCAACTTGTTTGGGGGGCCGGGGGGAGGCAGCACCCATGTGAATATCCTATGTCTTGAGAAAAAGTTTCTAGAAAATTACTAGGATCCACAAACTTTTCCTTCATTCATTAAAGAGAAATTGAGGACTCATGTACCTTTCCCACAGCACAGTGAGGAGAAATCTGAAAGTTTCTGTCCTTAAGGAACATACCTCAACTTTACAAGATTCAGGATTCTATTTCTTTCATTCACTAACTGAGTTTTATGATGAAAAGCCAACATTTATGGCATGCTTGCAATTCTCCAGGATCTGTTCTACGAGGTTTTACACACATTTCAGGTTGTGTAACATTCCCAACATAATACATTATTTCCACTTTAGAAATGAAAATTCAGAGGTAAGAAACTTGCCTGATGTCAAAGAAACAGTAAGTGGCAGAAAAGGGATTCAAATCCAGGTCTTTCAAACTTCAAAGCCTGGGTTCTTAACCACTACATTTATACTCCCTCCGGAATCTCGGCAGTGGTTTTCAAAGTGTGGTCCCTGGACAGCAAGCATCACCAATCATCACCGGATTAGCAATGTGTATTCTCAGGGCCCATCCCCAGGCCTGATGAATCAGAAACTGTGGGAATGAACCAGCTGCCTGAATTCTAAGCCCCCCAGGTGATTCCAAGGCATGCTGACGCTTGAGAACCAGTCTGAAGTTGTCATACTCAACTTTATGTGCATTAAAGGTGAAAATGATTACCATTTTGAAAATTCCAAAATACAAAATATTAACCCTATTTCAAAAGACTCTAAACAGATCAAAATGACATTAACTCATTTCCTCATTGCCCACAGCATCTTCTCCCCCTACACCTGACAAAATACCTACTCTGAACCCTGATTACACCATCTAAGAAAAGTCAGCTCTGATAGGCCTTACTGGGAACTGAGCTAAATTCCAAGCATGAAAAGAGCACAGAGGTCCAGACAGGATCTTCGCAAGTTAAATCACAAGCCATATTAGGAAGAGGGAAAAAAAGTATTTTGAATATCAGCCGTAGCAGCTTGCTAAATCTCGGTCCATAGCTCCATAATCCTTTTCATCCTTGGCTCAACTCCAGATTTTTACATCATCACTTCCACAAACTTGCCATTGCCAGAAAGTAAGAAGTTACAACCATCAGAAATATTCAATTCTCAAGAGTCATACTGGTGCAAGTATGAATATAGAAGTACTGTTTTGCAAAGAGCAAGTTTTTAATTAGGAGTAAAGCTAATCAGAGGCTTTTACCGTAAATACTACAACAAAAAGTGCTAGAATTACCCCTGCCCCTTAGCTCGACCAGCCCTTTACAGCATCCTACCAGGCCCTTCTCTTTGCAAAGCAATATTTAGACCAGACACCTTCTTTTGTCCCCCAAATCAGATGACCAATCTGAACAATGTGGGTCCACGTGTATTTGAGGTTTCCTGTTTCTAATGAAGCCTTCTTGCAAAGGGAGTGGAAGACAGTATCAGAAGTAAGTATATTCAAGCACCTAGCATAAGCCAAACAACTTTTTCAAGATACTCACTTGCACACTCAAGTCATTAATTGCACAAAGTTCAGAATTCTACTTATTTTAAAAGTGAAAAACATAAATCTGAAGACCAGCATTAAATGGCCCAAGCCTGAACCACGGGATAGCTATAAACCTGACTCAAAATACTTACTGACTTGATGAATGCCGGCCAAGGTGCAGAGCGCCCTGGGAAGCCCTGGCTCAGGCAGCTTTTTAACCTGCCTGGCTGCTTACAGCCACCCACTTGTCCATGCCCATGCCCACACTCACCTGATGGCTGGCAGCCCTGCCAGGAAGCACCTTCCTCGAAGGAATGGCACCTCCTTTTTACCCTGTCCAAAATCACCATCAAATCCCCTGAGAACCAGAGGTGGTTCCAGGAAAGAAATTACCAAAGCTCTCCTGCCCACACAAAGCTCAGGGGAATTGAAATACATACCCAACCCCAACCGGCTAAAGACCTTCCCACTCCAGTTTTCATCCTGCCTTTGAAAAGTCCAGTGGTTTCTGCAAAACATCTCACAAAACGCAATCATCCTAACAAGTCCGTATTCTCCACTGACACTGCCCTTTCTATACCTAAAACAGGCATGGCTTTTTATCAAAGCAGCGGTGATTTTTTTCTCACCTCCCTTTTCTAACAATTGGTGACAAACAATTTTAACCAGTAACTAAAACAAGCTCCTGCCATCCAAGAGAGAAAGCTTCCCTCTCTTTTCCTAAGTGAAGCAAGTTGATAATCATGCTCTCCTAAAAGAATAGAAAGATTTATTAAGTGTGCTTTTAAAAAAAAACTGTTTTACATGCTTGGGAAAAGAAATTTTACAACTTAAGTACTTGTTCATAGTACGTATCAAAACCATCATGCTGTGTATACCCATTTTATTCTACCCATTCTTTTGAAGAATCAGTCACCTAAGAAGTTAAAGCTTAAAACCAGGCTCAAACCGCTCACAGAGTTCATATAAGATTTAAACAAAACACAAATCACTTTAAAAAAACAGTTCAAGTGTACATAAATAAAGACCAATAAATTCACTCTGTTCTAGGATCCTGACCAGAGAGAACCAGAGTGCTTTTTAGTAGAAGTTATTTCTACAATGACTAATAACTTCCCTCACTGCCGTGTCCTCCCAAATAATCTCATTTAATCAAACTGACTTAAACTACTCATTGCAATTCTGTCTGAATTTCAATGACAGCTGCAGCACATTTGTATTCTTGTCAGTGAAATGCTTATAATTTTTTTTTAAATCTGGAACAGCACCCAGTGCACCATCTAGTGGAAGCTGTCTAAGGTCGTAATTAAATTTTTTTGAAGGGTAGAAACCCTGAAAACCACAGTGGGGAGCGGGGTGGGGGGGGTGGCTAACTGCCCTAGGTAAGACTATAGATAAATAAAAACAACCTAAATCTCTTTCCAACTACCCACAGTCTAAAGAGATGTTCTTCAGAAGAGGTCTCATTTTCTGTACAAATTAGCAGACAATAAAGGTTTATGATATGTTCTGCTTGAGTGATAGAAATTTTAATTTGATCATGAGAGTAGAAATTAAGTAAAGGCATTAATGCAAAAACAAACAAATGAATAAACAGAATCAGAGCTGGACACACAGGGCTTGTGTAAGGGATGTCTTACATAACAAACAAGTTATGTCAAACGTACACGTTCTGTGCAACAGAGCATCTGCCATGAAGACAAGGGTTTACTTCACCATCAGACAGTTCCATTCCGTAATTCATAAGATATTTCCATGTTCCTGATGACTAACACATTTAACGTAACAACTCTCTGGGGTTCCCTCCAAACTATCCATCTAAACCTTCTCCCCATTAACTCCCAAACTCCTTTGAGTTATCCTAATCAAGGAAGAGAGGATACTTACATGTTCAACATCGAAATTTACAGTAAAAGTTTCCTGAAACAAAATCATAACCCAAATGTATTACACCTCATTTGTCCCTGCTTTATGAATGTTAATTAGTTCAGTTCAATTCAGAAAACTACTCAAGTCCAATGCTCAGCCAGAGACGCAGAAATAAGGTTTTCTCATGTGAAAAGCCTCCCAAAACTTAAAATAGACGTTTTTCACATAACACCACAAGATGTTCTTGTCTGTGTGAAAAACTACCTTTCTGGCGAAATTCAAGCGATTTTAGCAGCCTAGGAGAAAGACAGACAAAGCCTCAGAGACTATTTCTTTACTTAGAAATAACCATCTCCACCGCTGACTCGTAAACGTGAATCAAATCAGGATTCAGAAGCTTGCCTGACGGGGGGAACCTTACTCGATCCGGGATTAAACCCATTGTAGGTATATTAGTAGGAGTCCAGTGACCTGGGCAGAATTCCTTTCATCTCCAGGGCTTTCAGTTTATGTACCTATAAAACGGACGTGAGGTACACTACCGGCTTCCGGAGAGGAGGAGACTAAGATTGAGCTTCACAATTAAAAGACCTAATGCAGCGCACCTGAAAGGGAGAAAGCTTCTCCCAGCGCCCTTACTAAGCCATTACTGATAAAACTAGTGACCTGTTTCACTTGTGAACAAATGGTAAACGAAAAAAGGTTATTAAGCACGCCAAAGAAAAGGTAACAGCAATCCAAGGTGCTTCTCTACAGGTAAATCACATCATGCAGTTAATTGCCTGCAAACTACGTGGGAAGCAGGTGCATCCCTAAAGCCTAAAGCTCAGCGATTGCTTTTAGAACGGCTTTTTTTATTCGAACGCTAATGTTTGAAAAATTAGAAAAGGAAAAAAGAATCACAATCCTACACCCGCCCATGACAGAGTGACAGAAACAAGGTCCCCCCCCCCACAATCCTTTCACACTGGCACCTGCATTCCTCACCCATATTCCGCCCCCCACCCCCACCGCACTGGCCCCACTTGAGCCCAGACAAAGGTGAGTCACATTGCTCGGTCAACTTGTCACTTGAGAAAAAGCTCCAAATAAGTTCATGTTAAAGACTGCTTTGAATTGTAATAAATAATAAGTAAATCATGCTCATGTGTAAACGCACTGCAAAGCGCCTGTCTCTGGAAAATGTGTAATTAACATCTATCCAAGTCCAGATAGCTGTCTTACTTAAAAAAAAAAAAAAACCAGCCACTCAGCTAATTGCTCCGTTATCAGTAGATCCTTTTCCCTTGGGAGCTCGACTCTGACTCAACTCCGCGTCTTCCCTCCACCTGCACTCCTCCTGCCCTCCGCTGGGCCCGGCAGCCGCCGCACCCGGAGTCCCGCTGCGTCCCTTGGGGTCCCGCCTGCGGCCGCCGCGGGCTCCCGGGAGGAGGTGCCTTGAGGCGGGCGGGAGGCTTCGGAAGACGCGCCCGGATCGGCCCGGCCCCCGGCGGCGGGAGAGCTAGGGAGCCGGCCCCCACCGCCCACACCGCGCCTGGGGCTCGGACCGGCGCTGCAGCCCCGAAGCCCCTTTACCTTCTCGGGGCAGCCGTGGCCCGCTCGCTCCAGCGCCGGCAGCCCGGGCCCGGAGGCAAGGAGGCTGCGACCGCGGCCGCCGCGAAGGACAATCAGTAGCCAGCGGGATCTGCACCGCCTCGGCGGACGCAGAACGCACGAGCCCGGCTGCAACCCGGCCCCCACCTCCAGCGCCGCGAGTCGCGAACTCAACCCCCTCTCTCAGGCGGGGCGGGGCCGCGGCCAGGGGGGCGGGGCGGGGCGGGGCCACATCGCTTGGGGCGAGGGCGAGGCGGACGCTGTGTAAGAGGCGCCTGCTGATTGGCTGCGGTAGAGGTAGGCGTCTCCAATTTGAAGACAGCCTCCCCAGAAGCTCTCCCTCATTGGTCGTTACGAGAAAACAAAGCAGAACCCTGATTGGTGACCGCCCTGTAGCTCCTCTCCCCCAACTCTCAATCATCGAAGCTCCGCCTCCACCCACTCGGTTCCCAGGTGGTGCAGAAGCCGCCGTGCTTCATGGACAAGCCGCCTCCCTGAAGGCACCCCCAGATACCCAGGTTCCTTTGCTAGAGGCGAGCTTCCTTATTCCACCGAGAGTCTACGGTTCCTTTTGTATTTTCCTTGTGAACTTGGTTGAAGAACAGCTGATCTGTCGTTTGGATTTAGAGTCGGTCTCTTGTGTTATTTTTTAAATGTCTTG